GGGCCTTACTGCTTCAGCAATGCCTGTGGCTAGCCTCCACTGTAGAGGAGAAAACTGCAGGACTGCATCTACGATGGGACTGCCAGGCGCCTCCACTCCCTAATCTCTGTGTCAAAACTCGCCAACTCTGCAAAAAAAGATCCAGAGTAAAAAGATACAGTTGATTTACTGTATCTACATTCTGGGTTGAAGTTTCTGTAAAATATTGTTCAAAGATAGAGAAAGAGCCAAAAATATGACAGCAGGGATTAAATGTCAAGCCAGATGTATCTTGTGTGACCATTTCTGGATGCTGCAAACTAACACACTATCTTTGGTTTGGAAGCATATTCATCTATTTGGAATCTTTTTCCTTGAGAGATTCAAGGATGCCATTAAAAACGATAGTTCTGGCTAAGGTGGATCTTAGTGATGGAACATAGGCTTGGTCTGAGAGAGAGGTTCTGGGTCCAATTACAAGCACACATATACACACACAAATTCAACTACTAGATTTTAGAGTCAGTTTTCCCTTAAATTTTTACTGTGGGAGAACAAAAAAGGATAATTTCTTAATTTTCAATTTCTGGAAATGTCTAAAGCAATCCAAACAATTACAACTTAGAATAAAATTTGGAAGCAAAAGCATGAATTTCAAATGAGGGGAATAGTTTTTATTAAGTACTGCCATGGTGAAATGTCTTCTCTATTCTTTTGAGTCTCTGGTGGATCTTTAAAAATTATTTTAATCTTTTTTCTTGTGTGTGTACGTGTGTGTGTGTGTGTGTGTGTGTGTGTGTGTGTGTATGTTTTTGCCTGTGGAGGCTAGATGAGGGCTTTGCATCCCTTAGGGTTGGAGTTACAGGCAGCTGTGTGCCGCCTGTCGTGAGTTCGGGAACTGAACTCAAGTCTTCTGCAATAGTGGTAAGAACTCTGAACCTCTGAGCCATCTCTGCAGCCTCCAGGCTTTGTAAATCTTGGTAATTTCCTTCAAGGGCATTGAATTGTGATTACTGCATTCTGAACAGTTTCTTATTGCGAAGTACATATAAAACTAGATAATATAAACTGAAAATAGGAAACCTTGCTTTTAATAATCGTTGATCATGCTAATATTTTGTACTGAGTAATGTAAATTCACAGGTCAATATAACTCCACTGTTCTGATTGCAGTGGGTCCTCCAGAGCAGAGAACAAAGCAGCAAATACTTCCTGTATTCTGAAGACTGTGGACAGCAGAATGATCCATATCATTGTCAACCACATCACCCACCTTAAGACTGGTGAAGTTAAGATCAGTCCTTTGAAAGATGCATCAGAAGGACCAAGAAGGCAGAGGGCAAACAGTTAATGATCAGGGTTGTGTGAGACCAGGAGGTAGTGGCTGTGGAGAAGTGCACACCTGTGTGTGTTTATAGACACAGGTGCGCATGCGCACAGGGGGAGAGACATAAATGGCGGCACTTGAGAACCGTTGCGACTGAGTATCGAGAGAGCGAGCCTCTGTCTCACTTTCCACCTGAGAATCTGTTGAGTTACAGAAACTCATCAACCCACTCGTACTGTTTTCTGTCACCTGAAGAAATATAAGAGATGGCCAACTCATAGTGAAGAGACAGTCACTCCGTCTCACCATTCAGTGAAGTTTCCATCCGAGATCTTTGGGCCGACAGCAAGGTAAGTCCACGAGGGGCCAAACTGCTTACCCCCTGGTGGAAGGTCTAAAAGAAAAAATAATGAGGAAAGTGTGGGGTTTCACGATCTCCTCTGAGGACATACCCAATGAAGCTCTCCTGCAAATCTCCAGGAATGAAACGTTCCATTCTTCCCAACAAAACTAATTAAAATACCTGGCCTAGGTGAAGGGTCTTTCCTCTGTCTATAAATGACGTTAAGAATGTGAATCTCTCATGGGTGATCCAGACATGGATGATGGAGCCTAGGCTGAGTTATTCTCCAGGGACTAATAAGGGTAAGCTTATAAGGCTCACAAGGCACAAAAGTTTAAATCCCATCAACCACCCATAGGTTCAGATCTACCTCAACCTATCAGACTATAGTTGTAACTTTTTCAAGGAAAATTAGTTTAGGGAAGTTTGGGGACAAAGTCTCGGGAGAATGCCAACATGCCCATGGAACTGGAAGGGATCAGTAAGGTCATGAAAGAGGCGTGGCAATTGGAGGGCACTGGAGATCTAGAACAGCTGTATTTATCCTGCTGGTGTGCTTTGTGAGGAAGAAGAGGAAGCAGAACCATGAAGCCATAGCCTAGATGTAAACGCCCTCTGACTTCTAAATGACGAGAACATTGCAAGGAAGATGCTTCCTGCATTACTGGGAGAGTGGAGGTAGTGGCCATCAGTAGATAGAGACCATGAGATGTGGTTGGGGCCAGCAGTGCAGAATGAAGCCCGTGGCAACATCAGGGCAGCATGGGGAGTGGTGACCTTGTAAATCAACAGTGATGGCATTAGAGCCCAGAAAATGGAGTCACATGATAAAGAAAGTTAAAGCATGAAGCTAGGCTTGTCAGACAGTTGCTCTGATATACGAACTCAATCCTATCTATCACTTTGGAGCCTCCTGTGCTGGCTAGCTTTGCAGCAACTTGAGACATTTTTGAAAGAGGGAACCATGGCTGAGAAAGTGCCCTAACTAGATTGACTGTAGGCAAGCCTACATTGAATTTTCTTGATTAATGATTGATGTGGGATTAATGATTGCCCGCCCACTGTGGGCAATACCATCTTTGACAGGGGTCCTGGGGTGTGTGAGAAATCAAACTGGGCAGGCCAGTAAACAATATTCCTTCATGGTCTCTGCATCAGTTTCCCCCTCCAGGTTCCTGACTTGGGTTGCTCCCTGACATTCCCGGATGACAAACGGCAAACTATAAGATGTAATAAACCCTTTCCTCCCCAGGTTGATTTTGGTCATGGTGTTTTAACATAGCACCAGAAACTCAAACACACTCTTAGAAACCTAGGAGCAGAGGAACTGGCGAATAGCAATCTTGGGGGTACTGGGTGTCGGTGAGGTTTCTCATCAGGACTGCCAGCTCCCTAATAAACAACATGGAGACTTCTTATTAATGATAAATGCTCAGCTGGTAGCTTAGACTTGTTAGTAATTAGATCTTGTAATTCAGTTTAACCCATGTTTATTAATTTATGTGCTGCCACATGGCTCATGGCTTGTTACCTCATCTTCAGCATGCCCTGCTTACTCTGGCAACTCCTCACTTCTTCTTTCCCATGCTTTCTCAGTTTGGCTCTCCTGACTAACCTCTTCCTGCCTAACTATTGGCCAGTTAGCTCTTTATTGAACCAATGAGAGCAACATATCTTCACAGCATACAAAGGGTTATCCCACAGCCTCAGCCAGTACTCATTTCGTCAGTTTAAATGGATACCACTAGAGTGTTCTGTTCAGGCCCTGTGACGGTTTGTTTTCCTTGTCCTGGATTTAGAAACATTAGGTGTATGTCTGGGCACACCTGAGGGGGAACCCACCCAGAATATAGGCAGCATCATCAGGTTTTAAACTGAATAGGAAGGAGGAAATGAGAGGGAACCAGCTTTCATCTCTGCTTTCTGAGTGTGGACCTGGTAGGGACAGTCACCTCATGTTCCTGTTACTATGACTTCCGGTCACGACGGACTGTTCCCTCTGATGGTTAGCCAGAACGAAGGTATTTGCCATAGCAAGAGGAAAAGGAAAGCGTATGGCTCCCCAAACTGGACTGGCATTGTGGGGTTCCTTGGTCCATGTTGTAAGAGTGAGCATGACTCACCCGAAGAGTGTATCTCTTTAGAACTGTTTCTCGTGAGCTAGCATCACAAAGACGTGCAGCAGACAGATTGGTTTGGCGACTTCCAGAACCCAGTAGGTGCATCTCCTCCTCTAATTGTGATAAAACACCTGGAGAAGCAGTTTCAGCTCTAGACCTTGGTGGATCTCAGGAGACCAGAAGCTGATTGGAATGATAACCCCCAGCCACTACTGGGAAGGCATGGGCGTGGCACAGGCCACTGGGAGGGGACATTTCTCATTCAAACTGTAACAGTAGGCCCTTGAAGATGGCTTGTGCAGACTGCTATCTAAGATTAAAGTCTCCCAAACTGATATGTGGGTCTGTAGCTGAGTAGCAATGCACATGACCTGCATCCCTGCTTTGGCGGTTGTTGTAATTTATAAAATGGCAGGAGAGAGAAAGATGCCACGTGACAGGGCTTATATGGAGGGTTATTTTTTATTAGGGGGAAAAGGAATAGGAGAAAGGGAGGAGGAGAGAGACCAGCCTCTGCTGAAAGGAGCAGCAGAAGAGAAGGGGGGGGGAGGGAAAAAGGGAGGGAGGAAATGGATAGAGCCTTTTTTAAAAGGGAACATAGTTAATGCGCACAGGAGGCGCTCTTAGTGGCTACAGCTGAGGAGCATCCCGTCAGAACCCCCAGGCAGGCCAGTACAGATGCCTGAATGCGAACAGAGGTACCTCATTTACTTCCTGCCAGAGGAAACTGCTTGCAAAATATAGTCCCGCAGAGAGACCTTATAGTAGGACCACAGCCGATCTTATTGGAAAGCAGGGACACCAATGTGTATATCTGAGACCGTCTCTCTTTCCGTAAGCTAAATTTCCTACATGGTCTAAGATTATGCAGAGTCTTCGATGTGTGCCCTTGCTTATTGTAACCCAGAGAAGCTTGCCTCTCTGTCTAGGGGACTTCAGCAGTGCGGCTGCTTCTCCTCACCCCCTTCTTCTCTGTACTCTCCTCCATCCTGAATTTTCTTTTGTTTTCTGCTTCTGCTTCATTTGAGCAGAGCAGCTCTGGTCTCTGGCACCTGGGACAGCCTGTATATGCATTTGTGTTTGCTGTACTGCACTGGGGCCAGCCAGGCAGGGATTATCATGGCTCCTCGCTCTGGCTTTATTCCTGCAAACTGCTCGGTCATTTGTTGCTTAATCCTCGAAGCCCTTTGTCCTGGAGTCAGCACCGTCTCACTGGGGCTCTTGGTTTTCCAGCTGAGGAAGCAATGTTACAGGGCTTGCTGGAGGACACAGGTTGAGCTGAACATCTTTCTGCGCTGCTCAGGAAGACTTGTAAGTGAAAGCAATAGCAGTGAGAGAGAGAGAGAGAGAGAGAGAGAGAGAGAGAGAGAGAGAGAGAGAGAGAGAGAGGAGTTGAGCTGAAGTGGGGCTGGGGTTTTCAGGCTTTTTAAGAAAACTTGACACTGTAAACTCAAGGTGTGAAAGGTTTGTTTATTGGTTGAAGACTCCTTGGGGGTGGGGATCACAAAAATGAGCTTGTAAACTCAGTTTCTTTAGGGGTGGAGGTGATTTTGAAATGCTAGGAGTCATCCAGGTCCTTTAGTGAGTCAATCTAGAATCTGTTTGATCCCCAGTCCTGCATTATTTTTTCCTCTCCACTGGTAGTACTTTCCCCACATTTTGAAAAAAAAAAAAAAGTCCTTGTTTTCTGTTTTGCTGATAAAATGTAGGTCACCAGGCTTTGGGAATTTCTTACTTTTCTCCCTTCTACCTTTTTCTGAACTTCCCCTCCATCATAGTGGTTGTCAAAGAATTAGCAGACCACACCTCTGGGCATGTGTGTGCCTGTATTTCCAGAGATGCTTAGCTAGGAGGAGAAGGATTGCCCTCCGTGGGGTAGCACATCTCATAGGCTGGAGACCTGGATAGCATAGAAGGAGCAAAAGGGACACAGAGCATCCCTCCTTCCATTTTCCTTGCATCATAGTCCCCAGGATGGAAATTTCTCAGTTGATGAAGGACCTCTGTTCCACCCAGTCCCACAGCCGTGGGAAACACTCACAGGTCTTACATTAATTATAAATTCGTTGACCTCTTAGCTCAGATTTTCTAATTAACTAATTCTTACGTCTTATTTTAGTCCATAATTCTTGTCTGTGTTAGCCACATGGCTTGCTACCTTTTATCAGTGAGGCATTCTCATCTTGCTTCCTGTTGGTCTGGGTGATGACTGTAGACTGACTCTTCTATTTCCAGAATTTTCCTGTTCTGGTCACCCCACTTATATTCCTGCCTGGCTACTGGCCAATCAGCATTTTATTAAATTAATACAAGTGACAATCTTTACAGGGTACAAGACCATGGTCCCACAGCACTTAGTTCCCCATGTTCCTCCCACTGAGGTGGCCTGAACTCTCTGAAATCGTGAGTCAAAGTCTGCCTTTCTTTCTATTGCCCCTTTTGAGTGTTTGGTCACAACAAGTAAAGTCTAACACAGAAAACTGACTTCAGAACGTCAGGCTCTGGAGACTTTGGAGACCTTGGAGCTGGTTTGCAGGAGGGATTTGAAGAAACTTGGAGGTGTGGTCTCCAGAAGCCCTAAAATGTGGTAAGCAGAACCTAATGGACAGATCTGATTTGGCCCAGAAGAATGAGAATGGATAGGAATGAGGGCAGAAGGACCGCACCCATCAGCCTTCCAATGGGAAGGAGAACTCTACTGGGAGTTGAGTTGTGCCATATTGTCCATGTCCAGAGATCTTGTGTGAGGCTGAAATTAAACCAGATGGAGTAGCAGACATGACAGGAGATTCCGAGGCTGTCCACGATCGGGTCACGTGTGACTGTTTCCTGCTTCCGCCTTCCACACACTGATCTTCACTGTTGCATCCATGTACAGACATTGCATGTACTCTTCATGTTTTTTTCACTGTCTCAGCTGCTTCTCAGTTTCTGTGAAGAGACATTGCAACTAAAGCCACCCATAGTACAAAAAGTTTATGGGGACTTAGAGTTTTAGAGGGTTAGTTAGAGTCCACGATTCTCATTGCAGGGATTGTGGCAGACTGGTAGGCAAGCCTGGCACCACAAACGCCTCCCAGTCCACAACTTCTAACGCTTCCCAAATAGTTCCACCAACTGGGAACCAAGCTTTCGCATGTGTGCATTTGTGGGGGCCATCTTTATTCAAACCACCACAGTCTCACCAAAGTCCAACATTTGGGTACAACCAGTTTTATCACCCCCTCTCCACCATTTGTTTGTATACATGGTTATTTTTGAATTGTTTCTGTCCAGATTATCACATGCCCTTGGGTGTTTATTTTTTTAAAATCATTTATTCAGTATTATAATAGTCCTTGGCTCTTTGTAGTTTTTTTTTCCCCCTGTCTCTTTCACAAGTCCCCTTTTCTCAAAGGTACATCCTTATGTTCTTCATGACCCCCAATTGCAGCCCTTTTTCTACACCGACTGATGGTTGTGACCCAACACTGAGGTTCGTATCATCACCTCAAAAGACTTCCAGACACTCCAGTTGCTTCAGACACGTGACTGGACATTTCCAAACTGAAGTCACACCAGTGATTGAAGCTGAGCGTATGTGAAGTGGAATTCACCATCTGCCTTCTGAACCCATTCCTGTTGATGGTGTTGCTGAGTGCTAAACCTGAGCCATCCTGGAGCCTCTATTCTTCCAAAGTCCTACCGTCTAAGTCTTGTCATTTTCTCCATTACTGTGTGGCTGAGATCTATCCTCTACCTCCCGCCCTAGTCCTGGTGTTGCTGTTGACCTCTCCTTCCTCAGTCTCAGTCCTACTGCTTAACTGATGCCCTGGCCTCCACAGCTCCCCTTCTCCAGCCTCTCCTTCATGATGTGGGATTCCCCTCAGTATGCTGTGAATACCATTGGTTACTAAAGAAACTGTCTTAGACCTGCTCAGGGACTAGAGGTAGATGGGGAACACTAAACTGAATGCTGGGAGAAAGAAGGCAAGGGCAAGAAAGAAGCCATGTAATCCTACTAGAGACAGCTGCCAGAGCTTTAGCCAGTAAGCCACAGTCACGTGACAATACACAGATTAGTAGAAATGGGTTAAATTAATATGTAAGAGTTAGCCAATAAGCAGCTAGAGCTAATGGGACAAGTAGTGACTTAATTAGTACAGTTTCTGTGTGGTTATTGTGGGGCTGAGCGGCCTCCCCCAGCACCTTCATTCTACCATTGCCTTTTATAGTGGAATTTTCCACGTTTCCTCATGCAGGGATGACAGTTATTTGGATTCTATCACTTCCTGGCTCAGAAATTCAGTTTTAAAAAAATGGCTTCTGAAATTCCCTCCAAATGTTATAGCCTTTAATCCTCTGCCTCTGGATTCCCCCATGACTAGCTCACTTTCCTCCCATGTCCAGAGTCCACGCTCCATTCAAGGGTGCTCCTTGCTCGCTCTCACACACCCTTTCCTTTATGAGTTTGGCATTTCCCTCTCTCTTACCCTTTCCTTCGTTAACACTGTTCTCTGTCTTTACCCCCAGTGTTCAACGTTCTTTCTTCATGACACTGTCTGTATGCTACCCAGTGCAAGGGTCCACCCGATGAAAACAAGAGAGGGAATGGTCACTACCATGTCCCAGCAGCCATTGTCTTCACGCTGGCCACCATGTACCGTGTGTCTCTCTGGTGGGTTCCCAGTTTGTGCTCTTCAGCCTCAGCTGCACAATGGAGCCACCTGGGAGCTCTTAAAAACACTAGTGCCTAGGCTGCATCCCAGACCAATTAAATCAAAGTCTTGGAGGCTGGGAATTAGTTATGAGGATTTTTTAAAAAGCTAATCTAGAGGTTCCTCTGTGAAAATAAAGACGTGTTTACCAATATCGGACATTTTTGTAGAATGTTTTTTGGTGGTGCTGTGTTTGTTTCCTTTTTTGGAGGGGATTTTGTTTTTAGTCTTATTAATGATGCCTATGATTGTTTCTTTGAAAATATCTTATTTTACTTTTAATTATGTATGTATGTGTGTGTTTATGCGGGGGGTATGTATATGTGTAAGGGCAGGTGCCAAAGAAGTCCAGAGGGAGCAGCTGATCCCATCGAGGCTGGGAACCTCCTAACGTGGGTGTGGGGAGTTGAACTCAGGTCTTCTGAAAGAGCAGCACCAAGTCTTAACCACTGTGCCAACTCTTCAGCCCTTCTGTGAGTGTATCTTATGCTCAGTGGACCTTAAAATGAAACAAAAAATGTTTAAATGAGTTTAGAAAAGGAAAAGACAAGTTGAATTTTAAGAGAAATTCAAATGAAGTCAATGGCTAGCCCACATTGGAAATCATGACTACTGAGTCTCATTGCATATTAACCTGTTTTGAGTATTTGGTGGAAACTGTGTATACCCAAACACTGAAGGACACTAGCTAAGCATTTATTTAGTGAGGTTATACCTTGCCTATATATATAGTACAATTAGCATAATGCTAATTGAATGAGTACTTATTGTACTTCCTAGGGTGTCATTAAGGTTAAATAAGTTGTTGGCAGGAGAATGGGGATATAATAAAATGCATTTTATACATATATAAATCTGTCAAACAATAAGAGTATTATTTTCAAGTAATTACATGAGTAAAATGGGATTGAAAAGTATGATGCTATCAGGCACATCGTAGGACTTCTGTGGTACTAGTAGGACCTAATGGAAGTTCTGCTTTCCTTAAGGGACCCTAGGTATCATCAGGATGACCACATTGGGCACTGTAGACACCATCATGGTGTTGTTGAGAGTATTTCGCTGGAATGTCTGTAGATAGAAATGCCTCATTTTCAGTTTGGGCCGAGACTTTGTCTTGAACCATGCACTGTATCCTTTATCTTCTCCTGTACATCCTTTGAATATTTGAGCTCCTTTGTAGGATCTTTGCAATAACAGCTGCTCACTATGTACAGTTTAAATCAAACAGGGGGTAGACACAGTGATGTGACAGTCAGACTGTCCCTCAAAGGACAGCATGGGACCAGCCCTGCTCTCTGTCTTCCCAGGAAGTCACAGAGACATTTGAAAGCATTTTGAAATGGACCTGGAGGTGTAGATATTCCTAGAAATTCAGTTTGAGAGGCTGAATGCTTGTGTGTGTGTGGGGGGGGCTTTGTTTATTTTGTTACTTTGCTACTTGAATTCATCACAGTGGTCTCATTCCAAACACAAGCCTCTACACCAGGCTTCACATCTTATTAAAGATCATCTGGTAAATCTCTAAACCTCAGCCACTACAAGAACAAGAACAACAACAACAACCTGGCTGACAAATTCTCCACCCACCTGTCTACAAAAAATGTCGACCTTGTATTGCATGACTTTCAGTAAATTGAAAGTGTGGGACTGGGCCCTCTGCTTCTCCATTCGGAAATGTCCGGAGTGTGGCTGGACTAGAGCTGACGTGTACCAGTTGACGCCGAGGGCTTTCCACACGGGAGTGAAAAGTACATTTGCACATTGAGAGGGAAGCTCAATTTTGACGCATTTCCAAGAAGCCAGCTGACATCTTGAGGGAAGACTGTGATCATTGTTAGCCACCTAACCCATGCCGCTTCTGAAAAATGGTTTGCTCAGAGGGCTGAAGGGAGAGACTAGATCATATGGGGTGAGGAATGACGGTGATTGCCTAACACTAGAATATAAATGTGTTGACACATTTAAAAACATTCGTGTACATTACGAGTGTTGTATGTAGTGTACTTGCTAGTATGGGTTTGTATATGTGCACACGCATGTATGCCTGTGTGTAGGCCTGAGGTTGAGTGTCTTGCTGTGGTCCTTCTACTTGCTTTTTTCTCTCAGACCGGACTCTCCCTGAACTGACGCTCACTATCTCCACTGCCTGACTGACCAATGAGCTCCCGGGAGCCCCTGATCTCTGCACCACCAATGCTTGCTGTGATTACAGGCTTGTGTGACTGGGCAGTGAGCAGGTTTTGCTTTTGTTTAACATGGGTGCTGGAGATGGGAACTTAGGAATTCATGCTTGTCCTCTGTGCACTTCGTCAACTGACCTATCTCCCGGCTTTCTGAATTGACATATTTTAGTACCTTCTCTAGATAGCTAACTTTTAACTCTTCAAAAAAAATGGGCTTTTAAAAATTGATAAGTACATTTTTTATCTCATCCCAACTTCAGCACTCTGACTTTTTACTTGATAGTTCATGTTTTAGACTCTGGATAATTCCTCCCTTTCCTAACTTATGGTAAAGAAGTCTTCTTCCCCTTGGATGGCCACATCTAAGGATTTCCAGTCCTTGGGATTTTGCTTCTCGGATCCAGAGTTAAGGAGCCAATGGACACTCCATCCTCTCCTCAAAGCCCTCTACTAATTTGTAGACCACTTCTTATTAAAGGGGAAAAGGAATGCATTGCTTTAATCTAATAACTTCCTGCCGAGTTTCCATTAGAAAACATGGTATTTGAAAGAAATGGACCCATCCTAATTCCCAGCTGCAAAGACCAGGTAATTTCATACAATTATGTTGTGCTTGTTCATGGAAAAAAAATCAATGATTGGATCCCAATGTCTCTATGTTCTTCAGGTACGAGATGCAGTGTAGGGGACCACCTGTGAGCTGTGCAGTTCTAACTGCTAACCCAGGTCAGAGCTGTCTGAGGACCTCTGAAATCTTCATTTTCCCCTTTAACCCTCAGTTCTGGCCAATGGTTCTTTTAGAGAAATACCTACTTTGTTTTGGTAATGTGCATTAATTGCACATGTTAATGAGCTACAGAGTGCTATCTCTGTCTCCATTTCCCCCACCCAACTTTCCCACTCTCTACCTATGACTGCTTTTCATTTGGCTTTCTGGACTCTGCTTATGAGAGGACATGTGACATTCAACTTTTCCTGTGACTTATTTCATTTACTGCAACATCCTTCAGCTCGGATCCCATTTTTCTGCAAACGACCGGAATTTATTTATTTATTTATTTATTTATTGTAGTTTGGTAATATCCACGTATCTGTATTTCTATGTAGTCCATTTTCTTCCTCCACTCACTGTTGCTGGTCCTCTAGGCTAATTCCATGCCAGCTGACATGAAGAGTCCCCTTGATGTACACAGCCTAAGTACTCTTTTTTTTTTTCTGTTGATTTTTAATTCTCTGTAGGCAATGTTGGGATTCCTAAATCAACCTCAAATTGGGGTGGCACCTATGATGACAGCTTCAACACCAACTTGATACAAAAGATAGAAAAACGGTTCCTCTTTGGAAATGACCTTACCACCATGCTGTGGGAAGAAGGATTTTTCTTCTCTGGTCGTGTGGGATTCCCCTATGTATGCTGTGAATATGTTTCATTACCGTTGGTTAATAAAGAAGCTGCTTTGACTTATAGCAGGGCAGAATAGAGCCAGGCTAGAAGATATATATAGAGAGAGTAGGCAGAGTCAGGATGACGCCACGTAGCTGCCGAAGGAGAAAGAGGTGGGAACAGAACCTTACCACAACCTCATGATGATACACAGATTAATAGAAATAGCTTAATTTAAGATGTAAGAGTGAGTTACTAAGAAGCCTGAGCTAACAGCCCAAACAGTGTTGTAGTTAATGCAGTTTCTTTGTGATTATTCAGGTTTGGGAGGCCAGGAAACTAAGGTGCAACCTCTGGCTAGACTCCAGTGTTGAGGTGAAGGAAACCACCAGCCAAATCTTTAAAACTGAGGAACCAGGCATCATTGGGCCCAAGAGGATCCCACAGGAGTTCTGTGATTTCCTGCCATCCCAACTGACAGCAAACATAGAACCTGCGTTCACCAGTGTCACCTTCCCAGAGGTTCATGGATGACCGGAAAACCCACCGTGTTCATGAACACCCCCGACTCCTGCCACCCACCAAGGAGGAGAATGTGGTCAAAGGGGTGGTCGTGGTCAGGCTTTTATCATGAGCGCTGCTACTTGGAGCCACACTCAGCCACACTGGAAGGGGGGTTCAGTGCATGGTGGCAAGGCCACGGGCTGGCTCAGCAGCTTGTCTTCATGTCAGTTTTAGCATCCTGCTTCTCAGTGTCTTCATATGGAGTCCACAACCAGTCATGTTGCAGTTCATAGGCATCAAGGAAGTCATGGAGACAGCTTGTATCCCATTCCTCTGAAGAAACAATGGAAAGGCACCATGCCATTCTCTAGAACTGGCCACTTTCCTGCTGGTAAACAGAGCAAATGTTGCCAGGGTTTTCCACCACGTTACAAACCTCATGGTGCAAGTGAGCATCTCTGTCTCTTCCAGTCCCTCCAGATCCCGCCACCTCCTGCAACCCCAGATTTCCCATGCCTCCTTCGGACAGGCTGGGAGCCACCAGGTCCTCTGTGATGGCCCCTCAGCCCCACCGTCTGTGATTATAGGCACTGTTTGACATGAAGATCTCATTCCTTTGGATGTGTTCTCAGAAGCAGTGCAACTGGAACATGCGTGATTCCAGTGTTTTTCTCTAGAACGGGCAGACTAATTTACTTCTCCGCCAACTGTGCACAAAAGGGTTGTTCTTTCCCGCATTTGTAATTTTCTGATAATAACTATTAAAATCGGAGCTACATAGTGTCTTGTTGTGTGAATTCTAATTTTTTGATAATAACTATTAAAATCGGAGCTACATAGTGTCTTGTTGTGTGAATTCTAGTTTTCTGATAATAACTATTAAAATCGGAGCTACATAGAAACAGTGACTCTGTTTCTCTTTTAGACTGAATCAATCTTATGTAGCCCAGAGTGGCCTTGAACTCATAAAGATCTCTCTGCCTCTGTCTCCCGAGTGCTGGGATTAAAGGTGTGTGCCACCACTGCCTGGCCTCTATGGCTAACTAGTGGCTTAGCTCAGTACTCTGATCTTCAGGCGAG